TGTTTGTAATGCTATATTGATAGACTTTCGTCAAAGAAATAAACATTTTGGCATTCGAGAGGGAATACAGTCACTGACGTCCTTTTTGGTCGGTGCATGCAGACAGGTAAAATCATGCGATGATTTCATAACTAGGCCAGGCTACGGCCTATGCATAGTATAATAGTAGGAGGAGGCCTGGGCGGCCTGCCTGGTCGTAGGCCTACATCTAAATTTGTTCCTTGAGTCTTTAAAATAGGTCTAGAATATTTCTATTAAACGTTCAGTTTGTTGTGTTTATGAGGGTCCATTGATTCAATGAATTCCTTAATTGTTCATACTTAATTAATATTGAATTTGAAGTAACTTTCTTCGGGTTCTAATTAAGCTTGTTTTACGAAAGTAATTTTCAATTACAATTCAATTTTTATCGCGCTGCGTGATGTATTCGCGGTGTTGACGAAAAAATTAATGAGGAATTTTTTTTGCACACGAACCTTAAAAAAATCAAGCCGAGCGTCCAATAATACAACAATTATTGGACGCTGGGGAATAGACAAATAACATTGGGAGTTACAGTGATGACGTCACGATTGATTTATAATAAATTTTATTTTACAAAAACATGCCCGGTCATGATGACACAGGGGTCCCAAATCTCTTTGAACTTCCGGGAGTCTCCCGGAAATTGGGACGGCCGCCCGCACTCCCGCAAGCAAGCAAGAATCTCCCGGAAATTAACCTGTCTCAGCAAATTCATAATTTTGCGTGTTGTTACTGCAATGCTCATTAGGTAGATCAGTGGCAGATTTAAGGGAGGGGGGAAGCCGGCCGGCCCAGGCCCTCTAAATATTTCAAAGTAATGAAAAAATGTGGTAGAAAAGGAAATTATGTTTAAACTTAAGTCTGAGTGGGCCATTTCCGGCCATCTATAAGTGCTGTAATCTTCTTACCTGAGCTCCAACCATAGTGGGACTGATGTGGTCTAGACCCGCTATGTGAAAGTCCCCCCTTTCCCCACCCTTCGACCCGCCACTGCAGATCTACTGGAAATGACTTCTTCCAACTTGGGACCCTGATGACATCACACTTTGACAATATTGTAGCACATCATGAATATGTATGGGCATATAACACTGTTTTTGTTTAAGAAAGTTTTATTTTCTTCTATTGGTTTTTATAGATATTTATCTGTGGTGGAACTGATGAAGCTGATACGAAAGAGTTGCTAGAAATTGTCCATTCCCACTTCATACCGAACAAGATAATTGTGGTTACCGATGGCAACAATTGTGAATACCTCAGCAAAAAATTGAAAGTACTTTCAACTCTCGAGAGAAAACAGGGTAAAGCCACAGCTTATGTCTGCGAAAACTACACGTGTACCTTACCGGTAAATTCACCGACTGAGCTAGAACGTATGCTTACAGGGACGAAATAATCTGAAATTGAATGATTGTGTTTTGTCAATTGAAACAAGTGATTTTGTAATTCTTGCATTTTTCTGCCTGATCATAACTTCATTCTAAAATATTGGAGCATTGAATATTACTATACTTATTATACTAGTAAATATTATCATAATTATTTTATTTTAACTACCTCTAGTTGTGTTCATGAGCTTACTGAAATTGAATTCAAAATAATGGTCCTTGCAATTAGAGACAAATAATGGAGATGCATATACACATGTATATATATATATATATATATATGTGTGTATACATTTTTCTACCATGGTTCGTACATGGTTGAGCACCTGTGAGTCATGCATCGGCGGGCTTTACGCCTTAAATTGCCGATAAACAGTGCGGTGTTGGTTTGGTTCGTTTAGGCGTTTTCTTTTCTTTTTTCTTTGTTAGTCTAGGTTCATGGTTTTTTTATTCTCTTGTCCGTTTCCTTCCGTTGTTGTGAAGCGCCTCGAGGTTGGTCCAAAGGGAGGCGCTATACAAATCGCAAATTATTATTATTATTATGTACAGTATCATTAATTTGTTCTTGTGTGAAACAGGTATAAAACTCACTGAAATTTATTTTGTGACATCCAAAAACAACTCTACTCACCAATAGTGATGTATCTGGTGTATGGGTTGGGGTGAGGGGGAGGGGGCCTGATGGGGAGGCTCGAGGGTTAATGGGGGCCTCAATGATTAAGTGATGGGCGCTAGCTCGCAAAATATGGAAATATGAGGTTATTTTTAATTACTGTACTTGAGCATGTTGCTTCAAACATTTTAAATGGGTGGGTGCTATTAATTACATGCTATAAAAAAGTAAATACTCTGTCTGCCTATCTAATAAAGTACTGACATGTAAAATGGATTACACTATGAAGTGTCCCTATCTCACCTGCTAATGCAACTCATTCATAATTATTGATAGAGACATTTTCTTATGACATATTTCTCGGCACATGTGTCCTTCTTGATATATTAGTTACAGCTTTGCTAAGAAGTTGTTAGCATATGGGAAGTTGTTGGATGAATGTGGAGGAGCTAACAGTGTTGACGAAGGAAGATGAATAAATATGTAAAACCAATTTAAGTAAGTCAATTTGTAAATGTTGGCTAGGCCATAAATAAATAAATTTGCATTATGTGCTCATATATCAGGGGTGGATTTAGAGAGTGGGGTCGTGCTGATTCTAGTCCCCTTTTGAAAAAAAAAAAAAAAAAGAAAAGAAAAAGACAAAATTGATCGCCCAAAATGCCTCAGAGGTTATTTTCGGGCGTCTGAAAAACAAAAAATTTCCCTGGGGTAGTGTTGTATCCAACAGCCCCACTTTCGGCCTCTCCTTTTGCACATCTCTGGATCTGCCCCTGTGTATGGGTATGATGTTGTCATATTATGCCCAAATATGGGCATATCACATTTCTTTGTCACATTAAATTTGTTGGTGTGGACAGCTTAAAGCCATGGCCAGACTGTCACATTTTATTTGACAAAAAATTGTGACGTGCCTAAATATGGGTATGATGACATATATCATATCATATATATATGAATATAATTAACCAGATATGAATATGAATATATAGCCACATCATGAATATATATGGGCATACAACAGTGTTTTTTTTTTTGTTGAATAAAATTTGATATTGTGGACAAGACATTGAGAGTGATAATGGTGTATCCAGTTGGGTAAAACTTGGGTTCCAGTCGTCCTTAATCTTTGTCTTAATCAGTTAAAATGCTTAAGAATAAATCGATTTTGGCACAAATGGCGTTCCATATTACTTATGTGCATGGCGTTCCATAGTATATTTTTTCTGGGATTTAATTCGCATCAAAAAGTTTCTCGACATAAACTGACGCTGGTGGCGCTTTCCGAAATGCGCTAATACTACGAAAAATCAATAAATTAGAGACTTGGGGCAAGTCTAGGTAAAACTGGTCGTAGTCACCATGTGCGCTGAACAATGGAGATTTTCTGATTTCTTTCACATCATCATCATGTATTCACAGTATGACTCATAAACTATGGTTTGATAAGTAAGAAGGGGCTCCTTTTGAACCAGTATTTTTGACGTCACAAAGTTTTCTGAACATGTGTCTGAACTATTGGATGTTAAGCCGGGCACTAACTGCGAAGAGCGCAATTATACCACAACAGTCGTTTTAATGATGAACCGTTCAGACTGCTAGCAAAAAAAAAAATATTTATTGGCTCTCTCTTTCAAAGCAGAGGAACACTCTCACGCAGGAGAGGTTCGACCATACAACAGAACAAAAGTTACAAGTAAAGATAAATTCATAAAAAAAGAGACAATAGTAATGAAAAATTCAAATCCAATTAAAATAATATAATATTGTAAAGTTTAAAATCTTAACTAGAAGGGGAAAAAAAATAAAATAAAAAATGATAATAATAAAAAAATTAAAAATTAAAAAAATAAATAAAAAAAAATAATAATAAAAAATAAATAAATAAATAAATAAATAAATAAAATAATCAGGAGATGGCGTAGCGCCCTCTATAGCTCACAGGGAACGGAGTACGACTGTCGTACAACGCAGTGTGAGTGCCCGGGTTTAGGATGCGCTTAGGTCCGAATCGGCGTTGTGCAGAGAACTTTGGACAGTCACGAACATCTGTCGTCGCACAATCTGAAACTCTAATGTCAAGAAGTTAACATATTTTCGAAAGTCTAAATCATAGAAATACGCAGCATAAGAACATGTGTGTTTAGTAGTGGGCAGACAGGTTCATTGAAGTAAACAGTTAACCACATTATGCAACTTTAAGCAATGTACTTGACGTGGTTCGTTTTGAGGGAGGGAGGAGATAAAGGCCTGGTTTTCATAAAAATCCCTACACAGTCACTACAGCGTTTTCACAGCAATCTTTGCACTGCGTAGCTGTCCCCGACGCAATCGGGAACGCTCTCTGATTCAACTGACCAATCAGCGTAGCCAAAAGAGTCGGCGATAGCGTGTAACGATTTTTATGGAAACCACGCTGAAGTCTACTACTTCTATAAAGACGTTATGTATTCACTGCTGTCTGCCTGTTAGCAGATTTATGCAAAACCTAATCATCATAAAATGTTATGGTATGGTACTAACTTTTTTTGTTCGTAATCTTACAATAATATATAGTAATGTTAATTAACATTAGTAGTTAATATGCACTTTGAGTAATACCACTGTCATAGCGCCACAAACACTGCATTCTGCCTTGTATATTGGCGATATACAAATCCTTGTTAATTCATTGATTGGTTGATTGATTGATTGTTGGATTGATTCATATGGGCTAACGAAGATGTAATTAAATTTTGGGATAAAATATTAATTACAAGGTGAGTCACAGAAATTTTAAATGACTTTGAATGCCCATAAACGGCTAGCTGTATTGCATATTGTTCAGTATTCAGGCACAGTGCTAAGGCTGTCTCTTATACACATCTAGATGTGTATAAGAGACAGGATTTAGAGAGTGGGGTCGTGCTGATTCTAGTCCCCTTTTGAAAAAAAAAAAAAGAAAAGAAAAGAAAAAGACAAAATTGATCGCCCAAAACGCCTCAGAGGTTATTTTCGGGCGTCTGAAAAACAAAAAATTTCCCTGGGGTAGTGTTGTATCCAACAGCCCCACTTTCGGCCTCTCCTTTTGCACATCTCTGGATCTGCCCCTGTGTATGGGTATGATGTTGTCATATTATGCCCAAATATGGGCATATCACATTTCTTTGTCACATTAAATTTGTTGGTGTGGACAGCTTAAAGCCATGGCCAGACTGTCACATTTTATTTGACAAAAAATTGTGACGTGCCTAAATATGGGTATGATGACATATATCATATCATATATATATGAATATAATTAACCAGATATGAATATGAATATATAGCCACATCATGAATATATATGGGCATACAACAGTGTTTTTTTTTTTGTTGAATAAAATTTGATATTGTGGACAAGACATTGAGAGTGATAATGGTGTATCCAGTTGGGTAAAACTTGGGTTCCAGTCGTCCTTAATCTTTGTCTTAATCAGTTAAAATGCTTAAGAATAAATCGATTTTGGC